TGACTTTGAAATTATGTAATCATTTGATCACAATCAAAAAAAAAAGAACCTCGGGGAAGGGAGGGAGGGAGGGGATGGTAGGGGGAAAACAATGGAGGGGGTAACAATGTTCAAAAGGAAGTGTACTCATTACCTCACTCATGTAACTGTAACCCTCTGCATAGTAGCTTTACAATAAAATAAAATTTTAAAAATAAAAAAAAAAAAAACCATGAATTTTCAATTCTATAAATTCAGTTAAATATCCAAGTTGGTCTTTCTGCCTGACAGAAATAGTGACTTTGGGATACTTGAATTCTGAACCCAGTTTCCAGTCAATTATCAGATAGTGAAGGTTAAACTCACTTTTTTCAATCTGGAAGAATGTTTACACACATATATCTCCAAACTAAGTGACAAAATAATTCTCTCAAAAGTACTTTAAGACCCCTAATTTGTTAACTCTTTCTCGAACTGTTTTCAGAGAAACTATTCAGACAATTCTGATCACATTCCACTAGAATTCTGATTACATTCCACTTGTACTCAGAAGGCTGGCTTTCAAGTGAACTAATTTTGCACTAAAGTATCAAAGTATTATAAATGATGATTAACAATGGAAACATTGAGGAATATAACCAAACTACAACCACCTAGTGATAAACAGTAACCATACATAAAAGTTATTCAAAATGTTTCAGTATTAGAAAATATGAATTTTTTTGGGGGGGGTGGGGTCCGGTCGTGGGGCCTGAACTCTGGGCCTGGGCACTGTCCCTCAGCTCTTCAGCTCAAGGCTAGCGCTCTACCACTTGAGCCATAGCGTCACTTCCGGCTTTTTTCTTTTTGCTTATGTGGTGCTGAGGAATCGAACCCAGGGCCTCGAGCATGCAAGGCAAGCGCTCTACCGCTGAGCCACCTTCCCAGCCCCATAGAAAATATGAAATTTTTATCAGTAACAAAATGACTTTGCAGATTAACTTTTGTTCCTCTGGTGTTACAGCTTAGGAAAGAAGACAGAAGATATACACACACAAAAAAGAAAACAAACCACAAAAATGGATAGAAACCAAGTATCTGGACATTTTCTAAAGGTGGTTAAGTACTGAGAAAGTACCTTCCACACACACATACACATAAATTATCATTACTTACTGTAGTACTGCGTATTGATCTCAGGGCCTTAACTGCTCTACCACTTGGGTGACATCCCCAGCCCTTTGACTTTCAGATTGTTTTTCAGATAGTCTCTTCCACCTTTGCCTGCAAGCCTTTGGACTGTAAGCCTCCTATCTCTGCCTCCCAGGTAGCTGTGATTACAGGTGTGCACCACTATGCCTGGCTTGTTTTGGGGATAAGTTCATACAACTTTGTCCATAGCATAAGCCTTTTGTCTGTACTTCTAGGCTAAGATTACAGGCCTAGTCTACCATGCCATTTAGCTTAATTTTTATATTTTATTAAGCCACCATTTTTTTTTTTTTTATTTTGCTCCTGGGACTTGGGCACTGCTGTCCCTGAGCTTCTTTTGCTCAAGGCTAGCACTTTATACCACCTGGGCCACAGTGCCACTTCCTGTCTTTTCTGTTTATGTGGTACTAAAGAATGGAACCTAAGCCCAGTGCCAGTGGCTCACACCTGTAATCCTAGCTACTCAGGAGGCTGACAGCTGAAGATTGCGGTTCAAAGCCAGCCCAGGCAAGAAAAGTTCATGAGACTCATCTCCAATAAACCACTCAGAAAACCGGAAGTAGTGCTGTGGCTCAAGTGGTAGAGTGCTATGCTAGCCTTGAGCTGAAGAGCTGAGGGAGAGCGCACAGGCCCAGAGTTCAAGCCCTGTGACTGACAAAAAAAAAAAAAAGAATGGAACCCAGGGCTTCAGCATGTTAGGCAAGCCCTCTACCACTAAGCCACATTCCCAGTCCCTATTCATCTTAACCTCTGGCGAATAAAGCAGTTCAAGAGCAGAAACAAATTTGGTTTTATGCACATGCTGTGGAAATACTAATTTCAAGAAACCTAATGTATTATTTATTTTTATTATTTTGGGATTTTTGAGACAGGTTCTGGCTGTGGTCCAGGCCAGGCTTGTGCATACCATATAACACAGTAAACACTGCAGCTCTCAATCCTCTTGCCTCTTTCTCTTTTACTAGAGAGCAAGCTGGGACCTCTAACAGCAGACCCTTCCTCATATCTGCTGGTACAGGAAATGGGAGACCTAGACACACAAGGCCAACTGCTAGGTGAGTACATCCTCTGTGATGTCCTTATCAGCTACCAGCGGACTGAGGAACTGGCGGCAGTGCTGATATTCCTACCAGCCTTAGGAGACTTCTGTATTTTGAAGTGGTACTGAAGTTTAAACTCACTTGCTAGCCACACTCCATAACCACCTGAGTCCATGCCTCTAGCACTTTCATGCTTTAGTCATTTTTTAGGTAACATCTCAGGTTTTTTGCCCTGGGCTAGCTTTGGATCATGGTCCTCCTACCTAACCCATCTGTGCAACTGATAGTAATTCATCATACCTAACTTATCTGTTGAGAAAGGGATCTTAAAGGGGTCTTAAACTGTGATCCTCCAGATCTCTGCCTCTGAGTAGCTGGGATTAAAGACATGTTCCATCATGCCTGCCTTTATACCTCAAACCCTTCAACCTTTTGTAAGACTAGGGTTTAAACTCGAGTATCATGATTGCTAGGGAGGTTCTAGGACTGCTGCAAAAATGAAAAAGAACAATACCTAGAGAGAAGTTCGGAAAGTAGGAGTAAATGCTCAGAAAACACAGATGGACACTTGGTGTTGCTGTAACATCTATAGCATTTGTACTTTGTAACGATTGATACACTGCCCCTTGCCACAAAGAATGCAAAAAGTGTTTATTGCCCTAAAACTCACCTAATGCCCTGTACCTACCTTGTGCTGGCTTAGTCATTCAGGGTTGGGGAACAGGTCAGTTTTGTCTGGACATGTGGTAATCAAACAAGGCACAGCTGTAGTTAAGGAAAGGTCATTTAAGTTAAAGTGCATCAGTTACCAGTTTTTAAGGACTGGTAAACTCATGCAGTTAAGTATTGTAGATGGGACAGCCAGAACACAGAGAAACTTCTATGTACTTCCCAGTAAATACAGAGCCGATAATTATACTTCTCCAAAAGTTTGCTGAGGCTACACTAATACTAAATGGAGCTGGGGTGCTGGTGGCTCATGCCTGTTAAGTTACTCAGGAAGCTGAGATGTGAGGGGTGTATTCGAAGCGAGCCAGGGCAGGAAAATCTGTAGACTCTTATTCTACAATGAACCACCAGAAAACCCAAAGTAGACCTGTGGCTCAAAGTGACAGAGAGCTAGCCTTGAGCCAGAGAGCTCAGGGACAGCTCCCAGGCCTGGAGTTCAAGCCCCATGACCAACAAAATAAACAAACTGAAAAGACAGGATCAAGAAAAGGTATCAAGTGGGCTGGGAATATGGTTTAGTACTTGCCTAGCATGCATGAAGCCCTGGGTTCCATTCCTCAGCACCACATAACAGAAAGGCCAGAAGTGGTGCTATGGTTCAAGTGGTAGAGCTGCCAGCCTTGAGCAAAAGAAGCTCAGGGACAGCGCCCAGATCCTGAGTCAAAGCCCCAGGACTGGAAAAAGAAAAAAGAAAGTTTCTACCTTACAGGTCCACAAAGAACAGACAAGGAAGTAGAGGTGTGGCTCAAGTGGTAAAGCACCAGCCTTGAGGGAAAAAGCTAAGGGATAACATATAGACCCTGAGTTTAACCCCAGTACTGGCACAAACCAACCAACCAAAAAGGCCAGACAAAAGTTTAAAAGCAACAGTAAGAGAATCCAAGCTTCCTTTTCACTAAAGGTTTTTAGAACCACTATATCACAAAGGTACCACCTAACCAGGTAAATTCCCTATCAAAACAAAGGTTGCTCACACCTGTAATCCTAGCTACTAAAGAGGCTGAGATCTGAGGATCGAGGTTCAAAGCCAGCCTGGGCAAGAAAGCTCATGAGACTCTTATCTCCAATAAAACACCAGAAAACCAGAAGTGGCACTGTAGCTCAAGTGGTAGAGTGCTAGCCTTGAGCTGAAGAGCTAAGGGACAGAGTTTGAGGCCTGCCTAGACAACACAATGAGAAATTTAAAAATATTCAAAGTATTTGGGTCAAACTTACCCATGGGGCTGGTAATGTGGCTTAGTGGCAGAATGCTTGCCTAGTATGCATGAAGCCCTGAGTTTGATTCCTCAGTACCACATAAACAGAAAAGGCTGGAAGGGGTGCTGTGGCTCAAGTTTGTAGAATGCTAGTCTTGAGCAAAAGCAGCTCAGGGACAAAAGAAGTAAAATAAGCCCAAGGATTTGCAAAAACAAAAAAACTTAATCATAGGCTTGGATCATTTTAAAACTATTTAAAGGTTGCTTACTCTTCAAGCTCTTTTTTTTTTGTTGGTCGTGGGCCTGAACTCCCGGCCCAGACACTGCCCCTCAGCTCCTCAGCTCAAGGCTAGCGCTCTACCACTTGAGCTATAGTACCACTTCCAGCCTTTTCTGCTTATGTGGTGCTAAGGAATCAAACCCAGGGCCTCATGCATGCAAGGCAAGGCAAGCACTCTACCACTGAGCCACCTTCCCAGTCCCGGTTGCTTACTCTTTTAATTGTCCTTTTGTTTCTTAGACAGGTCTCACTGTGTAGCCCAAGCTAATCTTGAACTCTTTTTTTTTTTTGTCAGTCATGGGGCTTGAACTCTGGGCTTGGGCACTGTCCCTCAGCTCTTCAGCTCAAGGCTAGCGCTCTACCACTTTGAGCCTCAGTGTCACTTTTGGCTTTTTCTGTTTATATGGTGCTGAGGAATTAAACCCCGGGCCTCATGCATGCGAGGCAAGCACTCTACCACTGAGCCACCTTCCCAGCCCAGTTTTGAACTGTTGAACCTTTTGTCCCAGCCTTCCAAGTGCTGAGATCACAGATGTATGCCACCCTACCTAGCTTCCAATCACGTAAGTATGCTACTACACTCACCGAAGCCAAGCATGGCACCTTATCAAGGTTAAAGAACTCATTGAAGTCAAATTCTCCTGGGGCCTGCTCAGGCAGGACGGCATCCCGTGGTACTTCCTGATCAGTAGTGGGCTCCTGGGCCAGGATGACCTCCACCTCGTCCTCTTCAGCCACTCCTCCATTGCACTCGACTATGCCTGGAAGCAAAACCAGGATAGAAATGGTCTGATGAAACGAACCACTCCAGTATTTCTCTGTAGCTTTGACCAGCAGGACACATACAAAAAAGCCACAGATGACTTTCAAACAAACTACTGTGCAGGCACTGCACTTTCAACATAATACTAAAGCATTTACTGTTTTCTTTCTAGGAGCTAGAAGAGAGGGAAAAAAAAAGCCTTAGCCAGGCGCTGGTAGCTCATGCCTGTAATCCTAGCTACTCAGGAGGCTGAGATCTGAGGATCGTGGTTCAAAGCCAGCCCGGGCAGGAAAGTCCGTGAAACTCTTATCTCCAATAAACCACCAGAAAACTGGAAGTGGAGCTGTAGCTCAAGTGGTAGAGCGCTAGCCTTGAGCTGAAGAGCTAAGGGACAGCATTCAGATCCAGAGTTTAAGCCCCACAACTGAGAAAAAAAAGAACAAAACACTTTAATAACTATGGAAAATACATCGTAGGACAAGCATGGGGAATGTTCTATAAGGTTTGGTGACATAATTTGGCATTTGAGCCAGGTGCCGGTGGCTCACGCCTGTAATCCTAGCTACTTAGGAGGCTGAGATACGAGGATCATGGTTCAAAGCTAGCCCGGGCAGAAAAGTCCTTGAGACTCTTATCTCCAATAAACTACTAGAAAACCCGAAGTGGCACTGTAGCTCAAGCGGTAGAGCGCTCGCCTTGAGCTGAATAGTGCAGGGACAGCGCCCAAGCCCAGAGTTCAAGCCCCATGACCGACCAAAAAAAAAAAAAAAAATTGGCACTTGATGGTACACGGTAGATAGACATATGTACTACCCTGTGGCCTATCTGCATGTATGGATAGTTTTGTATGGCCTGTGAATGACTTTATAAATACCTAAATGCCTCTCTGCAAAAAGGCTTTCTACCCCTGCAATAGGAAAAGGACTTTGGTCCCCTTTTAAGTACCTGAAGTACTTATGGACTGTGTATAGTATGTTCTTTTTCTAATAGGAAATCCTTTTCTCCCCCTGGTCCTGGGATTTGAACTCAGGACCTGAACTCTGTGCTTCAGTTTTTGTGTTCAAAGCTAGGGCTCTAACATTTGAGCCACAGCTCTACTTAGGGCTTTTCTCATAGTTACCTGGACATAAAGTATCTCCTGGGCTTTCCTGCCTGGGCTGGTTTTGAACCACAATCCTCAGATCTCAGCCTCAGATCTGAGCCACCAGTTCCTGGCTGGGTCTTACCTATTTCTCCATGCCTAGAACACTATCCTCCTATTTTATGTTTCTCACCATAGCAGAATGGGAGATGCAGACCACCATACCCAGCTTCCACACTGAGAAGGAATCTCAAAAACTTTTTTTCCTGCAGTTCCCTAGAACCAAAATCCTTTTCATTCCAGTCGCCTGTGTAGCCAGAGTGACAGGTATACATCATCTTGTTGAGATGGGATCTTGTGAACTCAAGGGCTGGCCTTGAATTGCAATCCTTCCAATTTTAGCCTCTGTAGTAGCTAGGATTATAGGTGTGAACTACTGCACCCAGCTTGGTTTGAGAACTGGTCTGGGATGATCTGTGAAGGTAGGCTTTGAGCCCTAAGTGAGCTGTTCAGCTTCCAGGTTTATTGGCTTTTTTTTTTTTTTTTTGGTTGGTCATGGGGCTTGAATCTAGGCCTGGTGTGGTCCCTGAGCTCTTCAAGCTCAAGGCTAGTGCTCTACCACTTGAGCCACAGCACCACTCCTGGTTTTCTGAGTGGTTAATTAGAGAAGTCTCACAGACTTACCTGAGAAGGCTGGCTTTGAACCTCGATCCTCAGATCTCAGCCTCCTGAGTAGCTAGGATTACAGGCATGAGCCACCGGCATCCGCCTTTATTGGCTTTCTCACTGACAGGTAAGCCACTTACCCCACTATGAAATGGACATCAAAGTATCTACACTGCATGTAGAAACAACATAACACTGTGTCTATTATGTACTTGTTCAAAAAACGAAAGCCCTCTTTATTTTTACGTGTCTCACCCGAGGAACCCTTTCATAGGTATAGTGTCGTCATGGGGTAGGTGACACTTCTAAACCAAGGAAATAGTATCAAGGTACACTTAGTGAATTCTTACTTAGGAAGGCATTTCAAGATCAAGCTGTTAATGCTAAAGTATGAAGACAAAGCCAATGACAACCCTACCTCATTTTATATACAACAGTGAACTACCCTCCCAAACAAGGTTTGTTCTGACCTTCCTTCACAGAGGCTGTCCGTCGCCTTGTTCTTTTTCTGCCTTTGTGATCTTCTTCTAGTATCTTATCATCAAAGCCAGTCAGCTCAATGGTTTCAGATTGACTTGTGGGTCCGGCCGAGAACCATTCTGGTTCTTCTTCAGTATATGAATCATTTCTTCTCCGCTCCCCAAAGATACGCTTACTATCCCCAAACTCTCTCTGAAAAAGCACAAAATATCAACATTCTTAGTCAAAGCATTTGTATATTAATCAAGCTAAGAATGAAGTAGTGCTGGAGAGAAAAATGAAGAAATAATTTACAGATACGAAGCACACCATCTTTTCCCTCTGCCCACCCAGATCTACTTCTAGTCTAGTTCAGAGCACACACTGCCTTCATCCAGGTTCTCAGACAATGCAGTGCCGGGGAGGAAGCTAACATGGTGCTTGCCTAGCATGGATGCGGCAAAAACCACCAACCCATCCAGTATAAATGACCTATCAAGTCCCCAAGCACGAGACACCAAAGAGTCCAGAAGACAAACCCTGAAACGCTTGTCCTTATAGTCCCTCTCTCGGTCTCGGTCTCTCAAATCACGCAGGTCCTTGTCACTGAGACGGTGGTCCTTCTCAAAGGTCCGGGCAGAGATTATCCTCCCACTGCCAATCCTTCGCCCGCCGAGCAGGCGAAGCCCATCACTGTCTTTCTCCAGCGGACTTCCTGAGCGTCGGGAGCTAACAGCAGCGGTCACGTGGCAGCCCCCGCCAAAGCTTCGTCTCTGTGGGCTGAGAACAACATCCAAGTCATCTTCTTTCACACGCTCTCGTGGATCTGAAAAGACGCCGGAGAGAAGTTAAGCAAACCCCAAGGATGACTTTTCTTCTCTAGGCTGTACATCCATGGCTTGTAAGAGGAGGAGGATTGGAAAACTCATCAGTACAACTGAGCTTATTAACAGATTTAGAGTAACATGTATATGACATTGAAGACTGCCATTTTCTACTTGTTTTTCTCTCTGGCATAATAAACATATTTCACAATAAATGATTTTTTTTTTTGTCATTAGCCTCCTCAATGCCTTAAGAGTTTATCTGCATAAAACTTTAGCAGAGGGGCTGGGAAGATGGCTCGGTGGTAGAGCGCTTGCCTTGCATGCATGAGGCCCTGGGTTCGATTCCTCAGCACCACATAAAAAGAAAAAAGCCGGAAGTAGTGCTGTGGCTCAAGTGGTAGAGTGCTAGCCTTAAGCTGAAGAGCTGAGGGACAGCACCTAGGCCCAGAGTTCAGGCCCCACGACCAGACCCCCCCCCCCCAAAAAAAAAAACAAAAAAAACTTTAGCAGAGTGGCTGGGAAGGTAGCTCAGTGATAGAGTGCTTGCCTTGCATGCATGAGGCCCTGGGTTCGATTCCTCAGCACCACATAAGCAGAAAAAGCCAGAAGTAGGGCTGAGGCTCAAGTGGTAGAGTGCTAGCCTTCAGCTGAAGAGCTGAGGGACAGCGCCCAGGCCCAGAGTTCAGGCCCCACGACCGACAAAATAACAAAACAAAAAAAAACAATAAAACTTTAGCAGATATTTTTCCACTAATAAACTATGTGTATTTGAAATAACATCTTAAAGAGTTAAAGTGGCTCTTCAATTAACAGCATCAAACAGATGGATATTCTATATACACAAAAATGAACTTTACACTTGGTTACACAAATCAACTCAAACATATTACACACTTAAATTTAAAACCTGAAACTCTAAAATTTAAATAAGATATAAACAGAAATCTTTGTGGCAATAGGTTAGGCAAAGTTTTTATGAGCATGATAATGAAAGTATGATTCATTTTAAAAATATGAATAAATGGCACTTGATCAAAACTTTAAAAAAAGTCTGTTCCTCAAAAGACATTATTTTAAAAAATGCAAAGACAAGCCCCAGACTGGGAGAAAATATTTCAAAATATATTCTTTATAAAGTATTTGTATTCAGAGCATAAAAACTTAAAAATTCAGCAATAAAAAACAATCCAGTCCAGTGCCAGAGGCTTATGCCTGTAATCCTAGCTACTCAGAGGCTGAAATCTGAAGCTAATGGTTTGAAGCCAGACCAGGCAAGCTAAGTCTGTGAAGCTCTTATCTCCAATTAACTACCAAAAAGTCTGTCTCAAGTGGTAGAGAGCTAGCCTTGAGCACAAAACCTCAGGGACAGTGCCCAGGCTATACCTCCAGGACTGGTACAAAATAATTAAATAAATAAAACACCATGTTGACAAATGTGCTGGCCATGCTAAAGTGTGCCTGTAATCGCAGCACTCAAGAAGTCTGAAGCAGAAGAGGAGAGCTAAGGAAGGAGGATCCCAACTTCCAGGCTAACTTGATTGAGCCACGAAGTGAGACCCTGTCTGAAAGAAGGGAAAAAAAAGAGGGCGTGGAGAGGCACAAATGATTTGAACAGAGACTGGAGCAAAGAGGTTATATGGATGGCAAATAGGAATACACTAAGAAATTCAATATCATTAGTCACTAGGGAAGTGCACACTGAAACATGTGATACCACTACACACCTATTAGAATGGCTAAAATAAAAAAAGACTGACCATTCCAAGTGCTGGCGAGGATGTGGAACAAGCAGAACTCTCATACAGTGCTGGGGAAATGTAAAATGATATAACCACTTTGGAAAACAGTTCGGCAGTTTTTCAAAACATTAAATATACATCTAGCATACAACTCGGAAGTAAATAACAACTTAATAATGGTGTAAGAAGAACAAACATACCACATTACGGAAAAATCTTTCTAGAAAACTAGAAAACTGAAGATTAGCCCATTTCAGTCTTCTCACCAGAAACAGCTCTCGTATATTTTGATATACACTTTTTCTGAATTTCTGGGTCTAAGTTTTTTCAACCAAATGTGTGGACAGCTTTATATTACTATGTTATGACTTGATATACCATTTGAAACACATTTGTACAATATATTTTTACAGACAATGTATTTGTGGGTGCGTGTACTGGTTCTGGGGCTTGAACTCAGGGTCTGGGTGCTTTCTATGAACTTTTCTGCTCAGGGTTTGTGCTCTACCATTTGAGCCACAGCTCCACTTCTGGCTTTTTGTGTGTCTCATGGATTTTCTTGCCTGGGCTGACTTCAAACCTCTAAGATACTCAGATCTCAGCTTCTTGAGTAGCTAAGATTACAAGTGTGAGCCATTGGTGACTGGCTAACAATGTAATATTATTACATGTGAACTTATTGAAGTTTACTCATCCCATTTCCATTGTTATTTCCACTGATCTCCATTTCTATTGATACTCCTAACTTTTCAACACTTTAGCAAAATCTCATTAAAGATGATTCTGGTAGAATAAATTCTTTGAGGGACATTAATGCACTAAGGGTACTAAGTGAGTCTGTCTAGAAGAATCTTCCATCTCATTTAAAGCTAGCCATCTCTTCTTTGCTCAGTTCTAAACTTTTCCTTCTTTTTCATTTCAAAAAGATTTCTTGTCACAAATTCCTTGGCTGGCTTTCATAAATGCCAGAGTCTCCATTTTACCCTTGAATTATTCCTAACTTAAAGTTATAAAAAAATCAAACTTTATTCTAGTCTCATCATTTGTTTGTTTTTTTGGCGGTCGTGGGGCTTGAACTCTGGGCCTGGGCGCTGTCCCTCAGCTCTTCAGCTCAAGGCTGGCGCTCTACCACTTGAGCCACAGTGCCACTTCCGGCTCTTTTCTTTTTGCTTATGTAGTGCTGAGGAATCAAACCCAGGTCCTCATGCGTGCAAGGCAAGCGCTCTACCACTGAGCCACCTTCCCAGCCCCCCATTAGTACTTTTAATTCAAAAGCACATAGCCTAACACTGCTATCTTCAGGAAGATTAATTTTAACCTGTAACTGGAAAGTATTTCACTGGTAAGTCTTGTTTTCTGATGATATTTCTCACAACTAAGCATGAAATCAGCAGCCAAGAGTGTGTCTCCAAAATCACCGTTCCACTTGAGTGACCATGCACTTACCTACTATCCTGCGCACCAAGGATGGGCGATCTGCATCTGACTCTTTCTTCAGTGTTTCTACTGGTGAGCTTCGCCCTGAAGTCGGGTAGAGAGATGCATGCCACTTCTCAGGGTCCCAAACGCCATCACTACAGATTAAAAGGTACTGACAGTTAGCATTTCCTAACTAGATAGTCTAATTTCTATATAGTAGTCTAACTTCTAAATTCATCAGGCAATAAATTATGGAAATCCTTTTCAATAGAAGGACTTTATGGTTGCCTTAAGAATTTTTCTTTTCTTTTCTTTTTTTTGTCGGTTGTGGGCCTTGAACTCTGGGTCTGGGCACTGTTCCACAGCTCTTAAGCTCAAAGCTAGCGCTCTACCACTTGAGCAACAGCTCCAATCCAGGTTTTCTGAATGGTTTACTGGAGATAAGAGTCTCACAGGGGCTGGAAAGGTGGCTCAGTGGTACAGCGCTTGCCTTGCATGCATGAGGCCCTGGGTTCGATTCTTCAGCACCACATAAGCAAAAAGAAAAAAGCCGCAAGTGGCGCTGTGGCTCAAGTGGTAGAGTGCTAGCCTTGAGCTGAAGAGCTGAGGGACAGCGCCCAGGCCCAGAGTTCAGGTCCCTCTACCGGACCCAAAAAAAAAAAAAAAAAGTCTCACAGAAGTTCTTGCCCGGGCTGGCTTTGAATTGGGATCCTCAGATCTCAGCCTCCTGAGTAGCTAGGATTACAGGCATGAGCCACCAGCGCCTGGCTTACTTTTTTCAAGATAAACAAAAAACTATTAAACTGGGCATGTGGATACATGCCTATAATCCCAGCACTTGGGAAACTGAGCTTCATAGTGACTATCTAAAAAAACAAAACAGGGGCTGGGAAGGTGGCTCAGTGGTAGAGCGCTTCCCTTGCATGCTCAAGGCCCTGGGTTCAATTCCTCAGCACCACATAAGCAAAAAGAAAAAAGCCGGAAGTGGCGCTGTGGCTCAAGTGGTAGAGCACTAGCCTTGAGCTGAAGAGCTGAGGGACAGCGCCCAGGCCCAGAGTTCAGACCCCACGACCGGACCCAAAAAAAAAAACAAACAAAAAAACAGAAAACCCAACAAAACAAAAACCCATAGAAACTATTAATTTTGTAATAATGCTGATCATATAACATCAACAGTTGCTTGAAAAACAATGGTCTGGGCTTGGCACTGGTGGTTCATGCCTATAATCCTCGCTACACAGGATGCTCAGACCTGAGGACCATGGTTCAAAGCCAGCTGGGGCAGGAATGTTCATGAGATTCTTGTCTCCAATTAAGCACCAAAAAAGCTAGGAGTGGAGTTGTGGCTCCAGTGGTAGAGCAGTAGGCCTTGAGCATGAAAGCTCAGGGATAGTGCCCAGGTCCTGAGTTCAAGCTCTAGGACTGGCATTGGCATACACACACATACACCAAAAACAAAAGCAAACAAAAAAACCTCTAATAGTTTATATTAACCAATATTGAGCCTACAAACCTTATATTACACATTGTAGATTACAGTGACTATGCCTATCCTACACAAACATGTTCCATAAATATTGATTACTAAGGGACTGGAAGGTGGCTCAGTGGTAGAGTGCTTGCCTTGCATGCATGAGGCCCTGGGTTCGATTCCTCAGCACTACACTAAGCAGAAAAAGCCAGAAGTGGTGCTGTGGCTCCAGTGGTAGTGTTAGCCTTGAGCTGAAGAGCTGAGGGACAGCACCTAGACCCAGAGTTCAGGCCCCATGACTGGCCAAAAAAAAAAAAAAAAGATATAGACAGACAGACAGATAGATAGATTACTAAGTTTACTATAGATTTATAAAAAGGGAGGAAGAAGAAAATCTTTTCACCTGAAGCAGCTTCTGGAATGTTTGGTGTCTTTTTCCAGAATTTCTAAGTGGACTTCCATTTTTGTTCCCAAGCCAGACAGCTCTTAAATGCCTACGATGTGTACCTGATGTTTTCTGTTGTGCTTCCCTCTCTAATGAGGAGATAGCAGAGCAGAAGCTTTGAAACCAAAAATCTGGAACCAGATTCTAGCTCTGTGTCATCACCCAGGACATCTTGGACATGCGCTTCTCTGCATAAAGAGCTTCCCAAACCACAGATCACTATATACTCTTTCTGTTCTCTGCACTTGTCCCTCACAGCCTGTAACAGATTTAATGATAAGCCCTATCTTTCCAAACCAATGTTCCATGAAGGAATCTGGCTACACAGCAGTTACCAAATGAACATTTTTCTTTGCTCTCAAGTGACCAGTATTTCTTGGAAAACGTAAGCTAATTTTTCCATAATAAAGGAGATATATTACCTAGCTTCTAGCATGCTTGTGAAAAATCACTGGGGAGGTTAAGAGCCCAATGAGTTTCTTTCCCCCCCCCCCCCCCCCAGTCCTGGGGCTTGAATTTAGGGCACTGGGCACTGCCCCTGAGCTTCTTTTGCTCAAGGCTAGTGCTCTACCACTTAAGCCACAGCTCAACTTCTGGCTATTTCTGTTTATGTGGTACTGGGGAATGAAATCTGGGGCTTCATGTATGCTAAGCAAGCATTCTACCACTAAACCACCTTCCCAGGCCTGAGTTTCCATTCTTGAAAAGACAGCAGAATGAAGCTGTTTTCTATCCCACACTTCTTTTTTTTTTTTTTTTTTTTTTTTAAAGACAGGGTCTTGGGGCTGGGAAGGTGGCTCAGTGGTAGAGTGCTTGCCTTGCATGCATGAGGCCCTCGATTCCTTAGTACCACATAAGCAGAAAAAGCCAGAAGTGGCTCTGTGGCTCAAGTGGTAGAGCACTAGCCTTGACCTGAAGAGCTAAGGACAGCGCCCAGGCCCAGAATTCACTCCCCACTCACCGACCAAAATAAATAAATAAAAGAATAGCCAGGGTCTTGTTACATAGCCCAGGCTAGCTTGGAACTTTTTTATCCTCCTGCTTCTACCTCCTGAGTGCTGGGATTACAGACATGAGCCACCAGATGAGGCCATTTCTTATTTTCAATGTTAGCACTAGGCACAATGTCTCCACTGTAGCATAAATGCTGATATGTCTACTCAGGATAACTGTTAAACAGTGAATTTCAACCTGGGGAATAAAAAAGCTTAGTTTTATTTTTTGCAATACTAGGGTTTGAACTTAGGTAGATACTCTACAGCTGCGCTATGCCTCCAGCCCTTTTTTGTGATGGTTATTTTTTGGCCATAGTGTTTTTTGTTGTTGTTTTCTTGCCTGTACTGAGGTTTGAGCCATGGCCTCATACTTCAGTCAGCTTGTCTGCTTGTTCAACTGGTGTTCTATCACTTTAGCCATGCCCCCAGGCCTGCCTTCTGTTTAGAGATGTAATTGTCCCAGATGCCTGGGCTGCCTTTGAACTGTGATCTTCTGGATCTCAACCACTAGTCGGAACTCAGGGCCTTGTGCTTGCTGGGCTGAACCTATACTGCTGAGCCAATGCCTCTAGCTCTGTTTCTTGTTATTTTTGGGATGCAGTCTCATTTCCTGCCTGAGCCATGAGCAATCTACTTTCAGGCTATTGATAGGTGCTGGGGAAGTAGGGACATGCTACCAAGATCAACATCCCTCTATGGAGATGGGATCTCACAGACTCCATTTCTGCCAAGGATGATCTCAACCTGCATTCTCCTGATCTAATCTTGCCAAGAAGCTAAGATTACAGGCATGAGCCACTATTACACAGTTTATGCATGCTATTTTTTTTTTTTTTGGTTGGTTGGTTATGGGGTTTGAACTCTGGGCCTGGCTGCTGTCCCTCAGCTCTTCAGCTCAAGCTGAGTACTCTACCACTTGAGGCACAGTGCCACTTCTGGTTTTCTGATGGTTAACGAGATAGGAGTCTCATGGACTTTTGTTGTTGTTGCTCATGGGGCTAAACTCTGGGCCTGGGCCCTGTCCCTCAGCTCTTCAGCTCAAGGCAGGCCCTCTACTGCTTATTAAAGCCACAGCACCACTTCTGGTTTCCTAGTGGTTAACTGGAGATAAGAGTTTCATGAACTTTCCTGCCTGGGCTGGCTTTGAACCATGATCCTCAGATCTCAGTCTCCTGAGTAGCTAGGATTACAGGTGTGAGCCACCGACACACTTATTTTTTTGTTTTTGTTTTTTTGGATCCGGTCGTGGGGACTGAACTCTGGGCCTGGGTGCTGTCCCTCAGCTCAAGGCTAGTGCTCTACTGCTTGAGCCACAACGCCACTTCCAGTTTTTCTGCATATGTAGTGCCGAGGAATCAAACCCAGGGCCTCAGGCATGCAAGGCAAGCGCTCTACCATTGAGCCACCTTCCCAGCCCCGATACACTTATTTTTGAGGTAGAGTCTTACTACCTTGCCTGGGCATGGACCCAGACTGTGAGCCACCTATTTTAGGTTTGTAACTGCTATGACAGGAAAACACCACAACATCCAGTTTCTTCCACTGACATGGAATCTTGAGAACTTTTTGCCCAGGCTGGCCTAGAATTGTGATCTCTTTCTGACCTCATTCTCTCAGGTAGCTAAGGTGACACAGGGCTTTACAATTTTAAAGAATAAGGAAAAAACAAAACAAACCCCCAGACTGCTTATATGGGACTCAAAAAATCCTAGCTAATCGGAATAGCCATTATTCCAGTATCACCTTTATTGGGGGAATACTAGTCAAGTGTCTAGATTTATTAGGAGTCTATATACAATTATAAAAAGGCTGTCTAGGCTGAGAATGTAGCTCAGTGGTACAGCAGCTGCTTAGTTATCATGGAGGAGATTCTGGGTTCATTCCTTAGCCCTGAAAACAATAAAAACCAATTTGTCCTGCTCAACCTCCCAATTTTTTTTTTTTTTTTTGGGTCCGGTTGTGGGGCCTGAACTCTGGGCCTGGGCGCTGTCCCTCAGCTCTTCAGCTCAAGGCTAGCGCTCTACCACTTGAGCCACAGTGCCACTTCCAGCTTTTTTCTTTTTGCTTATGTGGTGCTGAGGAATCAAACCCAGGGCCTCATGCATTGCAAGGCAAGCACTCTACCACTGAGCCACTTTCCTAGCCCCAACACCAAAATTAAATATAACACATTGTACGTTAAAAATGTAGGCCAAGCTGCGAAGTGGTGGCTCACATCTGTAATCCTAGATTTTCAGGAGGATGAAATCTGAGGATTGCAGCTCAAATCCAGCCTGGGTAGGAAAATCTGAGACTTTTATCTCCAATGAACCAGCAACAGGCTGAAAGTAAAGCTGTAGTTTGAATGGTAGCGTGCCAGACCTTGAGCAGGAATTCTAAGGGACAGTACCTAGGCCCTCAGTTCAACCCCCAGTACCAGTAAAAGAAAAAAGAAAAAAAAAAAAGGCCAATGTGAAATGTCAAATGTCAATAAGAAGTATAATATAGAATTATTTTTAGGAGATTTTACAGGCCATTTTTAGCTATAGCATTTTCAAACCAAAGCTTTTACCTTTTCTAAAGGAGCCTAACACACAGTAAGGCTAAACAGCTGAATGGGTCTTTGTTTGGAGAACAGAGGTTAAAGGTTCAGAGCCCACCTGATCAACAATCCTGGGGAAAGCCCTTGGAGAAACACACTGAAAGCATGGCCACAGGGACTAAAAGGACACAGGGGCTCAGGTTTTTGTTCTGCTTTGTGACTTTGTCATTTTCTATTTTTTGTATCATTATTAATTAGAAGTCCATGTTACTACCACTTGAAATCCCTCCCTCAATCATAATTCTACAAAAAAAACCTTAATATAATTATACCAACAAGTGTGGTATAACAACAATAACAAAAAAGAACAATTAGAAGTTAATGACTTAGAATGACAGCCATACCTGTCGTACTTTTCGGAGAGGCATGAAGGCCTCTGTTTGGAATGGGGGTGTTCTTTTATATCCAAGAGCTCCTCCTAAAAAGAGAAATCAAATGGGGATTTTTTGAATCACATTTCTCAGGCCACACACTTTCCACTTATTTCTGCTATGAATAATTCTCAGTATTTTAACTTAAACTCTGACTTATTCCAGAAAGGGATAGAGTTAGATCAGAATCATTTTTATTTTTACTTTATTTTTTAATTTTTGTCGGTTGTGGGGCTTGAACGCTGGGCTTGGGTGCTGTCCTTGTGCTCTTCAGCTCAAGGCGAGCGCTCTACCAATTGAGCCACGGGGCCACTTCCGTTTTTCTGGCTGTTTACTGGAGATGAGTCTCATGGACTTTCCTGCCCAGGCTGGCTTTGAACTGTGATCCTCAGATCTCAGCCTCCTAAGTAGCTAGGATTACAAGCGTGAGCCACCAGCGCCCTGTTTTTTTTTATTTTTCTTTTTTGGTGGTACTGGGGTTTGAGCTCCTGGACTTACACTTTTACTTACTAGGCAGGTACTCTAACACTTCAACCATCCCCCCAGATCTTTTTGCTTTATTTTCAGATAGGGTCTCACTTTTGCCAGGGGCTGGTCTTGGACCATCTCCCATTTATTATAGGCATTTGCACACATCTGGCTCACATCATGGATCTTAGAAGCTCAAATAGAATTATCAAATTATCAAATAGTTATAATAATCACAAACTAGTGACTAGTTTTTGCTAAAACACACATTCTCATACATTGCCATCCAGTAATAAGATCCCCAATACTGAGTGCTCAAAGACTGGAGCCCAAAGAAATCTATAGAATAAACACAAGTCTCACAAATTCAGAGGTGATACAAATTGGGGGAGGGGCAAGCAAATGGACTAATAACAGTGGTTTCAATAACAAATATCAAGGTAAAGAGGGCTTAAGTTTTTTTCCCCTTTACAGTGGTATAGTGTCTGCCTAGTATGCATGAGGCTCTGGGCTCAGTTGCTAGTAGCACAAAAAGAAAAAAGAAAAACTCATTAAAAACAAGAAGAAACCAGGCACTGGTGGCTCACATCTATACTCCTGCTGCTCAGGAGACTGAGATCTGAGAATCTCAGTGCAAAGCAAGCCTGGGAAGGAAGCTATGAGACTCTTATTTCTAATTAACCACCAAAAAGCCAAAAGCAGAGATGTGGCTTAAGTGGTACAGCACAAGCATTGAGCAAAAAAAAGCTCAGGGACAGTGCCCAGGCCCAAGTTCAAACCCCAGGAGCAGCAAAAAAAAAAAAGAAGACGGAAGGAAGGAAGGAAGGAAGGAAGGAAGGAAGGAAGGAAGGAAGGAAGGAAGGAAGGAGGAAGGGAGGGAGGGAGGGAGGGAGGGAGGGAGGGAGGGAGGGAGGGAGGGAGGGAGGGAGGAAAGAAAGAGAGGGAGACAGAGAAACAGACCAAACATAGGAAGGATGTTATAATATAGGAAATACTTCTGTATAACACTGTGGAGGGGTAGAGGTGGGAAAGAAAACACTGCTAGTCAATTTTCTGCTACCAGAACTCGAAAGATTATAAAATCCCTTACAAATTCAAACAGTAAATCTATTTACTATTAAACAAAGGGCAGTACACATCATAACACATCTAAATGTTTATATTCTCAGTATGCAGAAGTCTCCAGCAGTTAACAGTGGCACACATTTATAATGTCAGCAGCCGAGAGACTAAAGCAGTAGGGCTGAGAAGTCAAGGACAGCCTATGTTACATAGTAGACTTATCTCAAAAAGGAAAACAGAGGCAGGTACAGGGGCTCAAGCCTAAAAGTCCCAGCTACTTGATAGGCAGATCTCAGGTGACCTTGGTTTGAAGCTAGCTGGGGGGGGGGGGGGGGGGGGGGAGGATACATTTTTTAGACATCAGCTCAAGAAATCTCTGGGTGCAGTGGTGTGTGCCTAGCTAAAATAGAAGTACAATGGCTGTGCGTGGTAGTGTGTGTCTGTCTATCCCCAGCAACACACAAGGATAAGTAAGATCATGGTCCAGAATGGCCTGGGCATAAAACAAGATAATTCCTTGAAAAGAACCAACACATAATGCAACAGTGGTACTCACTAGACACTATGTTGAAAATGAACTATACAACTTGTAGGTGGGGACAGGAGGAAAAAAACTGGAAGAGTGAGGGAAGGGGGACATTGTCCAAAAAGAAATATACTGTTTACCTGACTTGCATAACTGTAACCTCCGTGTACATTACTTTTATATAAAAAAGTAAAAATTAGGGCTGGGAAGGTGGCTCAGTGGTAGAGTGCTTGCCTTGCATGCATGAGGCCCTGAGTTTGATTCCTAAGCATCACATAAAGCAGAAAAAGCCGGAAGTGGTTCTGTGGCTCAAGTGGTAGGGCGCTAGCCTTGAGTTGAAGAGCTGAGGGACAGCGCCTAGGCCTGGAGTTCAGGCTCCAGGACCGGGGAAAAAAAAAAAAAAGCAGGTCTGGAAATGGCTCAACTGATAGAGCTCCAGTCAAGCAAGCAAACCCAGTAAGCATACGGCCCTCAGTTCAAACTCCTAGTACTGCAAAAAAAAAAAAAAAGAAAGAAAGAAAACACAAAATTATTAATGAAGCTGGGTGCTGGTGGCTCACACCTGTAATCCTAGCTACTCAGGAGGCTGAGAGCTGAGGATTGCAGTTCAAAGCCAGCCTGGCAGGAAGGTCTGTGAGACTCTTATCTCCAATAAACCACCAGAAAACTGGAAGTGGCACTATGGCTCAAGTGGTATAGTGCTAGCCTTGAACTGAATAGCTGAGGGACAGTGCCCACGCCCAGAGTTCAAGCCCCACAACCTACCAAAAAACAAAAACAAGAGCTGGGAAGGTGGCTCAGTGGTAGAGTACTTGCCTTGCATGTATGAGGCCCTGGATTCGATTCCTCAGCACCACATAAGCAAAAAGAAAAAAGCCGGAAGTGGCGCTGTGGCTCAAGTGGTAGAGCGCTAGCCTTGAGCTGAAGAGCTGAGGGACAGCGCCTAGGCCCAGAGTTCAGGCCCCACAACCAGACCCCCCGGCCCCCCCCCCCAAAAAAAGATAAATGGTTGCCAAGGGTAGAAGAAGAAGATAATGGGAATGATTACTTGCTAATAATTAGTATAAAGTTTCTGTAAGGGGATAAAAATGTTATTTCTGGAATTAGTTAATAGTAGCTGTACAAGTTTGAGATTTTACTAAAAACACTGAATTATTTTACCATTTACAAAAGGGAAATATTATATATGTGAGAATTATATCTCAATTATAAAAGTTTACTTAAAAAAGCAGGTAGCACCGGGCGCTGTTGGCTCACATCTGTAACCCTAGCTACTCAGGAGACTAAGATCTGAGGATCATGGTTCAAAGCCAGCCCAGGCAGGAAAGGCTGTGAGACTCCTATCTCCAATTAACCACTCAGAAAACTGGAAGTGGTGCTGTGGCTCTAGTGGTAGAGCCTTCGCCTTGAGCTGAAGAGTGCAGGGACAATGCCCAAACCCAGAGTTCAAGCCTCAGGACCAACCAAAAAAAATGTCTGAAGGTGTGGCTTAAGTGGTAGAATGCCTGCTTAGGAAATGTGAGGTCCAAACTTCAGTATCTAGTAATAGTATACAAACATAAAGGCACCACACGCACACAGAATTGGAACTCAAGAGACTGAGGCAGGAAAATTGTGTTAAGGGGCTAGTGTGGGCCACAAACAAAAAGACAAAAGCAAACAAAATATTTGTAACCAGGAGCCAGTGGCTCACACCTGTTATCCTAGCTACTCAGGAGGCTGCCATCTGAGGATCATGGTTCAAAGCCAACCTGGATAGGAAAGCCCATGAGACTCTTATTTCCAATTAACCATCAAAAACTGGAAGTGGTTAAAAAAAACAAAAAACTGGAAGTGGTGCTGTGACACAAAGAGTAGTACCTTGAGTGAAAAAGCTCAGGGTAGGGGGCTGGGAAGGTGGCTCAGTGGTAGAGTGCTTGCCTTGCATGCCTGAGGCCCTGGGTTCAATTCCTCAGCACCACATAAGCAAAAAGAAAAAAGCCGGAAGTGGTGCTGTGGCTCAAGTGGCAGAGTGTTAGTCTTGAGCTAAAGAGCTGAGGGACAGCGCCCAGGCTGAGTTCAGGCACCATGATCGACCCCCCCCCCCCCAAAAAAAAAAAAAAGCTCAGGGTCAGTGCCCAAGCCCTGAATTTGAGCCCAACAAAAAATAAAAATAAGGAAGTGGCACTGTAGCTTAAGTGGTACAGTGCTCGCCTTGAGCTGAAGAGCTGAGGGACAGCGCTCAGGCCCAGAGTTCAAGCCCCATGACCGACAAAATAAAATAAAAATAAATAATGGCTGGGCGCTGGTGGCTCACACTTATAATACTAGCTACTCTGGAGGCTAAGATCTGAGGATTGCAGTTCAAAGCCAGCCTGGCAGGAAGGTCTGTGAGACTCTTATCTCCAATAAACCACCAGAACACGAAGTGGCGCTGTGGCTCAAGTGGTAGAGCGCTTGCCTTGAGCTGAAGAGTTGAGTTACAGTGCCCAGGCCCAGAATTCAAGCCCAATGACCAACAAAAAGAAAATAAATGAAATAAAGCAAAAGGAAAGAAATGTAAACATCACCTGTTGTGGGAGAAATAATTGCATTATCAAAGCTCATAGAATTCACAACCTTTATAGACCATGATAAAGACAATTGCTTTGTGAAGTTTAAAATGTGTTTATGACTCTGAACGTGGGCGCTGTCCCTCAGCTCTTCAGCTCAAGGCTAGCGCTCTACCACTTGAGCCACAGCACCACTTCCAGTTTTCTGGTGGTTTATTGGAGATAAGAGTCTCAAAGACTTTGCTGCCCGGGTTGGCTTTGAACTGCGATCCTCAGCTCTCAGCCTCCTGAGTAGCTAGAATTACAGATGTGAGCCACCAGCATCCAGCTTCACTAATTTTTTTTTTTTTTTTGCAGTACTAGGAGTTTGAACTGAGGGCCATATGCTTACTGGGTTTGCTTGTTTGACTGGAGCTCTATCAGTTGAGCCATTTCCAGACCTGTTTTTTTTTTTTTTTTT